CCTCCCCACTGCATCCCCTGAATTACTACTCTTTCTTCTACCAGGTGAGAAAACAGGTCTGCTCAGGGTCACCCCAGATGGGGGCAGCCTCAAGTCCCCTTTCCTGCAGGAGCCTGAACTTTAGACCCAATGTCACCTGCAGGATCCTCTCCCAAGCAGGTGGCCAGCCCAGGTGGGGGCACCAGGTGGCCATGGTTGCCAGTCCAGGCCAGGGACTCTCTGCTGACAAGTATCATTGACTTATTTTGAAGAAAGTCAGTTTCCATTCCAAATAAGGTGGCCGCCCAGGCCACTGCCCTTCACCCAATTCCTTTGAACTGTCCAAGTGCAATTACCCAGAGCGCTCCCCTGGCCAGCCGCCTCCTCACTGCCTCTGCGTGTAAACAAGCCGCCCAGATGGGCCCCAGCTGGCCGCCCCAGAGAGAGGGGTCACTGTCACTGCCCATGCAGTTCCCGCCTTTCTTCCTGTGGCCGCAGGCATGACAGGAGCCTCCAGCACCCTGGAGCTCCCCACACCCCCAAAAAGACACAGGAAGCTGGGGGAAGCACCCTACAATTCAAGGCCCCCTCTTTCATCTGATGTCTGGGACAGAGACAGTGGGTTCCTCCACAGGCAGGGCCAGTGCAGGCAATGGTCATATTTCTGGGTGTTCTCTGAGGCACCCCCCATTTGGCTCCAGCAAATGAAGCGCTAAGCGAACTCTCCAGGCTCTCCAAGACACCCCAGGAAGTTGGTCCAGTTCAGAAGGGATTCCCAGCAGCCCCCCCAGGATCATGTTGTGGGGCTCCCCAGAGGATAGCTGATATTCCCCTACTGAGCTCACACATGGGCTCTGGCCACCACCCTCCCAGCACAAGCCTGCTCTGACTGGTCATTCTCTCTGTCATCTGACTGCCATTTGGGCTGGGGAAGGGGAAATCCTGCTTCCACCGCTGCGAGGGACCCTACAGATTCCAGGATGGGCAGGGGGTGCCCCAAGGCAATGGTGCTCTTCTCTCTGCCCTCCCCACGGCTCACAGCCTCCCACATCATACTTGCAGCCCTCAGCTCCTTCGCATCTGCCCCTCAGTTGATTGAACGAAGGGGTGGGCACAGCCCCATCCAGGGTCCGCATCTCTAAACGCCCCCCCTTCTTCCCCACCCTGACAGCAGACCAAAGGCGCCGAGGCAGCATGCCTCCCTCCTGGGGCAGCCAGGCTGCGCTGTGGGGTGCGAGTTCACAGCTGGCCTCCGGCCACATTGCTGGGCCAACACGACGTCACCAGGCGGAGAACTGAGCTCCCCACGGGCTGGCTCGGGGGCTGCTCTGAGCTGGGCATTCCTTCCGCAGCCTCCTCCCGCTCCGCCCCTCCTCCTCCTCCTCCCCTCCGCACCCCTCCTGCTGGGCCTGGAATTGGGTTGGGGGCGGGTTCAGCCTCCCCGGCTGTCTCCTCCTCACCCCGGGCTCCTCCGGCCCCACTGACTCCCGGATCTGAACTGGGTTTTCCGGGCTCCGCTTTGCTCCCTGCCTCGCTAAGGGTCTGTGGCTGGAGAGTAAGATCGTCCACTAAAGGAAGTCCCTTCAGATCAAGACAGGCACAGGTAACCTGGGGTCCAGCGAATGGGGAGGGGCTCTGGGGACCTGTCTGCAAGTTGAAGACCTCCCTGGGACACCCTCCGGGCAGGGAGGTGGGCATCTTTGGGACAGGAAGGTGGACACTTTGGGAGCCGTAAGATGGGAACTTTTGGGACAGGAAGGTGGCATCTCTTTGGAGCAGGCAATTCCTTGAAATCTGGCATTGGGAGAAGGTAGTGAGAGACCCCAGAGCAGGGGGTCATCAGCTCCGGAGGCTCCGATTTTCCCAGGGACATTGGGGACACTGAAACCACCTCCCTACATGCTCTGCCCTGACACGTGGGCAGTCCCTGTCTCCCCCCAGCTGGCCTCATCCCTGAGGTGGGGTCTTCCACTGCCCCTCCCCCAGCCTGGCCAATTATTCAGGCAGCTGTCTTGGGAGGACCTCGAGGGAACACCCATTGGGCAGAGGCCCAGGCTGGGGAGTGTCCCCCCACTGCTCTCACACACGCCCCTCCTTCCACCAGCTCTGAGTACAGCTGGGGCCGGCACTGGGGGACACAGAGGGACAGCTCCTGCAGCCCCAGAGGGTGGGCAGCTGGGGTCCCATCTCCCAGGCAAAGGGTGCCCAGTGTGACGCTGAATGGAAGCCATATGAGGAATGTTTCAGGCCCCCCCAACACACACACATAACCATCTGCAAACCCAATTGTGGGTGCAACGTGAGGGTGTCCCCAGGCTACCTTCATGTCTGGGAGTCAGGCTTGGATATGAGGCCCCTGGAAGGCCAGCACTCTTAGGCCCAGGGGACAAGAGGGACTGAGGCATGATTGACAGCCCCATCAAAGAGGGTCTGCCCACCTGGACCTCCAGATGGGTGACCTCACTTGGGGTCCCTGGCCATGAGGATTAGCTGGGACACGCGCGGGAGTTAGGAGGTGGAAGACAGTAGCCAGGAGTTTAAGGGAAGGGTCAGTAAGCTGAGTGGACAGTGTCTTTTCCTGCTTCGGGAGAAGCTGCCCAGCCCCTCCCACCCCAGCGGCTCACACGCATCACACACACGTGCACACACGTCCTCTCATACAGCCCATCTGGGGCGCACAAGCCTTCTAGACTCTTCAGTACATGAGTAAACCAGCTTTCCAGAAAGTCCTGTATGGCAAAGCTAGTGGGGCACAGGGACACCCCCACGGGGCGTCAGTCAGCTGAGGGCTCTGCTCTGCACCCCACTCCCCAATAGGGAGCTATCTGGATAGTTGAGGACAGGGATCCAGTTGGAATAACAGCTCCACTGCTCCTCCCTGAGCCAGGACCTCGTGGAGCTGCCAGGCAGGGAGCTGGTGGGAAAGCCCCTGAGGAAGATACTGGGAAGTGGGGTCCAGGAAGGATGGGGTGAAGGGAAGGTATCAGGGTGCCAGGCAGGAGGAAAAGCTCAGAGAAGCCCCACGGAGGGAGAGGGGAAGGCTTGTCTACAGCCATGGGGACCTGAATGGTTAAGGGATGGACGAATGGTTGTAACCCACCTAGCAGTGCCTAGGAAGAAAGGCCTGGCGCTCTGCCTGTACAGTCACGGCGGAAAACGCCAAGGGGCAGGTGTACTCTGTCCTTGTGTTGGAATCAACCTGAAGGCATCCCAACCCCTACTGGCCACTCTGAGGACCTCACACCCCCAAGGTGGGACACATGTAGGTCTGGCATCAGAAGATCCTACAAATGCCCAGAGGGTACAGGGTCACCATCTGGTGGCACCAGGAACCCCTGCCCCACCCACAGCCCGGAGCTGCCCGTGTTCTGTTCTGGAAAGCTTAGGGTTAGCAGGGGGGCCAGACCCCACCCACAACAGTCACTCATTCTAGCCAATGAGCCGAGAGGCGGGATTAGGGGCTGCCAATCAGAAGCAGGCATTTCAGTGGCGCCGAGTGGAGTTAGGGCTCCTCTGCTGTCCTGGCCTTGAGGGCAGCGGCACTGGCTGGCTCACGTCCACCCTGCACACCAGAACCAGACGCTGTCTGGCCCCGCCCTGCCCCCACAATCTGTTGCAATCTGTGTTACTTGGTGGATTTGGGGAAGTCGATAATCGCCAGGCCTTTCTTGCTAGCCTATCTTAGTCTAGAAGTTCTACTGAAACTTGTTTGCCATCCAAGCCCCGCCTCTACTAGTGATGCTGGTGGCTGGGCATGAGCTGTACTGACCAGGAACCGAACCGGGTCTCCCACATGGGAGGGGATACACCGTATAACCACCGCTGCCCTCAACGCTCCCATCTTTAAAGGACCAATCAGACTATGCCACAGCTGTTGGGCCAGTTCTGAACTGTATTCTTACAGGACAGCAGAATTGCCCCTTAGGCCATCGTCTTTACAGAAGCAGACTGTCCCTTCTTTCTCCGAAGAGCCTGGTTGATTCAAACCCCTGACCATGTGGTGAACAGCGCAGCACGTCACCACTCCAGTGCCAGGGCTCCTGGGGAGGAGCCAGCGCCTTCACATACAACGTGACCCCCAACGCGTACACCCACTCCTTCCTAAAGCCTGTCCTGCCAGAACTGACCGCTCCCCTCTTCCACCCATCCCACCAGTGGCCAGGTGTGGAGGAGGCACTGGGGACCTGGAGGGGGCGGGGCACCAACATGGGTCTCTACCAGCCCCAGCTGGCTCTAAAGACTGCTCAGACCACATGTGACCAGACCACAAGGGCGAAGGCCACGCATGACCCAACCACACGTGACCCAGATGAGTGACCCAGACCACATGTGACCAGAACATGTGTAACCCAGGGCATGCCTGACCCAGACCACGTGTGACCCAGACCATGTGTGACCCAAATCACACATGGCCAAGACCATGTGTGACCAGACCACAAGGTCAAAGACCACACATGACCCAGACCACGTGTGACCAGACCGAGTGTGACCCAGACCACACGTGATCTAGACCACGTGTGACCCAGACCACACATGACCTAGACCATGGTGTGACCAGACCAAAAGGGCAAAGACCATGCATGACCCAGACAACGGGTGACCCAGACCACATGTGACCAGAACACAAGGGCAAGGACCATGCGTGATCCAGACATGAATGTCCCAGACCACACATGACCCATACCCATGTGTGGGTTCCTAGTGTCAGCAAGGCTTGAAGGAGAGGACACAGGCAGCAGAGGGCTTGGTCACAGCGCTGTCACCTGGGCCTCAGCTTATCACCTCCACTGGGGGGAACCAAGAAGGACACTGCTCGAGTCCAGGGTGATGAACCGCCCCCACAGGCTCAGTGGGCTGGTCTGGAAGTTGAGGGGCTTCTGGGGAGAGGAAGACACCGCTGAGGGAGCAGGACAGGTCAGCTTCTCTGTGACCTTTCACAGGCTGGAGTGCAAGTTGTGAACTGTGCTAATCAGTGAGGACACTGGACAACATTCACCGCCCCAGCCCTGGCCGGCCTGGCGATGGCAGAAAACTGTACCTGGGATGTCCACTCCACTGGCAGGAGCAAGGTAAGTGCCACCGGAGGGTTCTGGACAAGTGGGGTCCATCCAGCGCCCCTCACTTCAGGCCCAGCCTGTCTACCTGCTGGCTGGAGGCAGGGCTCTTGCTGGGCTATATGGCCAAGCAGGGTCACAATCCCTCTGGTCCCCATGTTGTCCTCAGTGAGGTAAGTGCAATGGACTGGACACTCTTAAAGTCCCCTCACCTACCAGCTCTACTCTGCCTTACCCTGAAAGAACTCGTTTAACCCCTTTTCCAAGGAGCTGGGTGGTCACTCTGCTCTCTGGCCAGGCTCTACCTGGAGGCCCCGGCTGCTGGCTGCATAGGGGCCTTGAGGTCACATGTCACGTGTTCACAGCCACCAGTGAAGACTGTCCAAGACCAGAGTCCCCAGTCAGGGGTCACCCACCAGGCTGACACGTCTGACAAGCCCCGTCTAGGCTGACCCACCTCCACGCTCTTCACAGCTGTTCCCCCACTTCTCACCCCCTCCCATCTGTCCTCCTGCAAAATACCCTGGGATTCCTTCCTGAGTTCCGGACAAACACTGTCAAGCTGGATGGTGCCCTGGAATTTCCCAAATCCACCCTCAGGCATTTAAAGAAACTGAGGCCACCCCAGGGGGTGCTTGCCCACAGGAGGCCAGAGCAGCTGGAACCCCAGCCCAGGAGTTCCCTCTCCACCCCCTAGTTGGTGGCCTCAGGGAGTGTGATGAGGAGAGGAGAGGGAAGAGGTCAGCTCCAGGAGAGGAAGGCTTCCCAGACCTCTTCAGAGGCAGCCGACCCTCGGCTGGGAAGGCCACCCTACACCCAGTGACTCAGCCAGACCCCGACTTGCTTGGGCTTCAGGCCCTGGGAGAACCAGAGGTGTGTCCCAGCTGCAAGAGGGAGAATGACCAAGTGACTGGACCTGCAGCCCAGTCCCCACCCAGGCCTTCACCCTCTGCTCTGCAGAGTATGTTGTTGTTATGATGATGATGTTGTTATGTGTTGTACAGTCACCTGTGACTCATATGCACAACAGCCCTACACCCTGCTCTATCCTGTGCCAATCTTATTGTCTCTGACACACCTACCCCCATTACAGTCATTGAATCAATCCACCTCATCGAGGGTCTTCCTCTCTTGCACTGTCCCTCCACCCTCCCAAGCATGATGTCCTTCTCCAAGAACTGGTCCCTCCTTGCCACATGTCCTAAGTATGTCAGGCGAAGCTTCAGAATCCTTGCCTCCAAGGAGCAGCCTTGTTTAATCCTCTCCAGGATGAATCTGTTTGTTCTTTTAGCAGTCCATGGTACATTCAATACTCTTCTCCAACATTACAGCTCAAAGGCATCAATTTTCTTTCTGTCATCCCTTGTTTTGCCCAGCTTTCTGACACATAGCAAGTAATTGTAGATTATGGCCTGAATCACCACAGCTTAGTCTCCAGACTGACACTGTTGCTCTTCAATACTCTGGAGAGGTCTCTGACAGTAGATTTTCCAAGTACAATCCATCTTTTAATTTCCTGACTGCTGCTACCAAGGGTGTTGATTGGGGAGCCAAGCAAACTAATACTGTTAACTATCTCTACCTCTTGACCATCTATCATGATGCTGCCAGTCAGCCCAGTGGTGAGAATCTTTGTTTGATATTGAGCTTCAACCCATATTGAAGGCTGCAGTCCTTGACCTCCTGCTGCAAGTGCTTCAGATTCCCCTAGTTTCAGCAAGGTTGTGTCATCTTCATAACGCAGGTTGTTGATAAGCCTTCCTCCAGTCCTGATGCCACACTCTTCCTCATAGAGCCCTGCTCTTGGATGATCTGTTCTACATATAGAATGAAATGGAGTTAGGACACATCCCTAGCATACACCCTTCTCAATTTTGAACCAAGCAATGCTTCCCTGCTCTGTTCTGACAACTGTCTCTTAGACCAAGTATCGGTTTCGCATAAACACAATCAAGTGTTCTGGGATTCCCATTCTTCTGAGTTAGTCACAGTTTGTTATGATCCACACAGTCAAAGCCTTTGCATAGTTAATGTAACACAGATAGACATTCCTCTAGTACTCTCTGCTTTCAGCCAAGATCCATCTGACATTGGCTACAATATCCCTGGTACCACGGTCTCTTCTACACCCAGCCTGCACCTCTGGCAGTTCTCCGCTGAGTTTAGCTGGTTTCAGATCCCCCAGGGTCTGCATGCTCAGACCAGATGAGCAAGGGGGAGGATTTGGGGGCTGACAGACAGACAGATAGACGCCAAATCAATAAAAGTACTTCCAGGTCCTGGTAAAGTAACACTTAAGCACTCAGATGCTAACCAAAAGGGTGGTGGTTCGAGCGCCCCAGCAGCCTGGAGAGAGACCCACTGCTCTCCTAAATGGCGAAGCTCTGTCCATCGTGCTCTGGACATGCAGCTGGGTGCGGCTCGTCCTTGGGTATGCGTGGAAAGAGGGAAGGTCAGTGAAAGAGAGGAAGACCTCCCGAGCAGATGGACAGACACAGTGACCTCGGCAATGGGCTGAGTGTGTCGGAGATGATGAGGAAGGCACAGGAGAGGACAGGGCTCAGGGTAGCTGTTCATCCTCAACAACAGAGATGGCAGCCCTGGAAGTCCTAACGGATGGGGAAGCTGGCCCACTCCCCCCAAAGGTCACTGGGGATGGAACCCACAGCCGGTACCCCAGACACTCCAGCCCCTGTCATGGTCGAGTGAGCTCCCAGTGACCCTGCAGGGCACCGCAGGACGCCGCTTAGGGAAGGAGGTTGGCATCCCTGTGGGAGCGTCATCTTCCTCTGGCTGCCATCTACCTGATGGGGTCAAACCTCCCACCTTTCTGTCCACACCAGTACTTCATTCAGTGCACCACTAGGCTTCCTGACAACCAGTCATTAGGTGCCATCAAGTCGACTGTGACTCTTAGCCGCCCCATGGGCAGCAGGTCTAAGCCCTGCCCTGCACTGTGGGCCCCTCACCACCTCCCGTGTGCATCAGCCCTTCTGGTTGAGGGTCTTCCCATTTCCAAACGTGACGTCCTTCTCCGAGCACCGGCTGTTGCTTTTAGGGACCCCTGGTGGCATAATCTGCTGACCCAAGGGCACGTGATCTGTGCCTCTCTGGCGGTTTGAATTCACTAGCAGTCCCTGAGGGAGAAAGACGTGAAATCTCCTCCCACGTGCCTCACAGCCTCAGAAAACCTGCTGGACAGTCAGCTCTGAGTCCGTTCCCACCCGATGGCCGTGACGGAAATGTTGCCTTCAGCAGCCTCCGAGCAGGCCCGGCCCACGGCAGCTCCAGGCAGTGCAGGCCCGAGCTCCGGAGGAAGGGGAGGCCGCTCGGGGTCGCTGTGGCCCATGGGGCTCCCATTGGCTGGTTCTCAGAAGTGTCACCAGACCTTTCTGCCTAGTCTGGAAGCACCTCTTGGACCTGTTCCATGTCACAGCCACAGATAAACCCCCAATGACAGACAAACTGCAGCTTCACATGAGGTGCACTGGGTGGGAAGCGAACCTGGGTCTCCTGCATGGGAGGTGAGAATTCTACCACTGAACCAACAGTACCTGCAATCAGACCCTGAACAAGCTTGCCCTGATCTCACAAGTGTCTCCGAGAATATACCCACCCTCAGCCCTAGCTGGTAGACTCCCGTTGGCCAGCATTGGTCAGAAGCCCCCAGTCTCTGTTCTAGGGAGTGAGCTTTTCCCCAGCTCTGGGGATGGTTTGGAAGGTGGTCACACGGACCCTGTCTCAAGGCCATCACTGTCGTGTTGCTGGACAGTGCCAGGCTGGGCAGGGGATGGGGACAGAGAGAGGCAGGTGCAGATCTGGGGAGCAGGAGGGGGCGAGCTGGGATGGATTAGTAATGTCTGCCGGGGCTCCACTCACAGCCTGAGAACTGTCTCCAACTCACACATGTGTTGTGTTTGGCCCGTTTGGTGTTTTTTAAAAATCCAAAAGAGTTGCCAACATTTTTTAAAATCAGGGTATTTCACAAGCCAGAGCTCAGCTTCTCTGGGGAAAAGACGGAGAGACTGGCCAGCTGCTTGGGCCCAACCATCCCCACTCCTGACAACCAGCTGCGGAGGGGCACCTTCCCAGTCAGCTCTAGAGGGTCCCTCTCCACTTGGCCTCAGTGCGCGCCGCTCCCCAGCATCCACCGCACACCCGACCCGCCAGCCACCAGGCTGGAATCAGTCAGAATCAGGATGCACTTCACGGCCAGATTCACTGTGCAAACTAGGAAATGCTGCGTGCAGCTTGACAAGCAGGTGCAGCAAAAGCCTGTCCGCCCCCACCCCTCCCCAGGGACTGCTGCACTTTCTCCCAGTCCAACCCAGACAGGCATGACCCTGGACGTGCTCACCAGTCCATGCTAAGGAAGCCGGGCAGCTCACCAGTCTGTGCTAAGGAAACCTGGCCAACTGACTGCAAGACATCCGTGTTTGCTCCCATTCCAAAAAAGGATACCCAGAAGAGTGTGGAGATTACTGAACAATAATATCATTAATATTACGTGCAAATAGATCTTGGTGGGGGCTATTCAAAATGGGGAAACATTAACAGAGAACTGCCAGAAATTCAGGCTGGATTCAGAAGAGGTCATGGTGCAAGGAATATCGTTGCTGATGTCAGATGGATCTTGGCTGAGAGCTAAAAATTTCAAAAAGATGTTCACTTGTGTATAATGGACTTTGCAAAGGCATTTGACTGTGTGGGTCATAACCAATTATGGCTAACATCGAGAAGAATGGGAAGCTCAGAACAGTCATGCTTATGTGAGACCTGTGTGGAGACCAAGAAGCGGTCCTTCAAACTCAAAAGAACAAGGAAACACTTCATAGTTTAAATCAGGAAAGGGCTTTATCCTTTCTCCACAGCTATTTAGACTGTATGTTGAGTTAATCATTTAAGAGGCTACAAGAAGAATCAGACCTGGAGGACTGAACCTGCGTTGTGCAGATGGCCCAACACTGACTGCAGAAAGGGAAGAAGACCTGACGTGTTTACTGAAGAAGAGCAAAGACCATAGACCATGGCTTTGAACATGGACTACACCTCAGTCAAACTCAAGAAAACAAAATTCCTCACTTCAGGACGGAAGGCAACATGCTAACAGACGGAGACCAGTTGACGTTTCAAGGATTTCTTTTCACTTGTGTTCACAGTCGATACCCGTGGTGGCTGCAGTCGGGAAATCAAAAGCCACGCTGCACTGGGGAAGTCTGCTGTCAAGGACCTTCCCAAAGTGCCAAGGAGCAAAGAAGCACCTCTGAAAACCAAAGTGCACCTGCTCCAAGGCTGGTGTTTGCACTGCTTCCTGTGCAAGCGAAAGCCAGGCAGTGAGGAAGGAGGCGGAGGAAGCTTCAAGGCCTTTGAAGTGTGGTGTTGGCGAAGGGGTTTGAATATTCCACGGACGCCAAAGTCTAAACACAGTTATCTTGGGGAGAGTGCAGCCGGGGTGCTCCTTGGAGGGAAGGGCGGTGAAACTCCATCTCATATACTTAGGGCATGGTCTCAGGAGGGCCAGTCCTGGGAGAAAGGCTTCGTGCGTGCAAAGCCAGAGGCTGAGGGAACGAGGAAGACCCTCGATGAGCCAAACTGACACAGCAACTGTAGCAAGGGGCTTGGTGGTGGCAGAGGTCACGAGGAAGGTGCAGGACAAGACAAGATGTCCAGCTGGTGTCCGTGCAGTCCTTAGGAGTTGTAGTTACTTGATGACACCTCACAACAGAAGCTCAGAGACCAGCGGGATCTCCAGCAACCACCGCCAGTACTGGTCAGGGCTCATGCTACTTTTGTTTGTTTGCTTGCTTGCTTTAAATTCATATGTAACTGGTTTTCTTTTCTGTTGTTGTTGTTGTTGTTATGTGCCCTCGAGTCGCTTGTGACTCATAGCGACCCTATGTACAACAGCCCTAAACTCCGCTCTGTCCTGTGCCAATCACACTGTCTCTGATACACCCATCCCGATTACCCCAGTCACTGAATCAATCCACCTCAGAGAGGGCCTTCCCCTCCTGCGCTGTCCCTCCACCCTCCCAAGCATGATGTCCCTCTCTAAGGACCGGTCTCTCCTCACAACATGTCCAAAGTATGTTAGACGGAGCCTCAGAATCCTTGCCTCCAAGGAGCCACCCGGTTTAACCCTTTTCAGGACAAATCTGTTTGTTTTCCTAGCAGTCCATGGTATTCCCAATACTCTTCTCCAGCACCACAGCTCAAAGGCATCAATTCTCCTTCTGTCCTCCTTGGTCATTGTCCAACTCTCTGATGCATAACAAGTGATTGCAAAGACCATGGCCTGTATCAGATGCACCTTAGTCTCCAGAGAGACACCATTGCTCTTCAGTACTTTGGAGAGGTCCCTAACAGCAGACTTACCCATGGCAATGCGCCTTTTAATTTCCTGGCTGCTGGTGCCAAGACTGTTGACTATGGAGCCAAGCAAACTAAAGCTGTGTACAATCTCAATCTCTTCACCATCCATCCTGATGCTGCCAATTGGTCCAGTGGTGAGAATCTTTGTCTTCTTGACATTGAGCCTCAATCCATATTGGAGGCTGCAGTCCTTGACACTCTGCAGCAGGCGCTTCAGGTCCTCTTCAGTTTCAGCAAGCAGGGTTGTGTCATCCGCATAATGCAGATTGTTGATAAATCGTCCACCAATCTTGACCCCACATTTCTCCTCATAGAGCCCAGCCTCCCGGATAATCTGTTCTGCATATAGGTTGAAAAGGTATGGAGATAAGAGGCATCCCTGGTGTATGCCCTTCCCAATTTTGAACCATGCAGTGTTCCCTTGCTCTGTTCTGACGACTGCCTCCTGGTCCAAGTATAGGTTTCGCATTAGAACGATCAAGTGTTCTGGGATTCCCATTCTTCTCAGAGTCAGCCATAGTTTGTTATGATCTACACAGTCAAATGCCTTTGCATAGTCAATGAAACACAGGTAGACATTCCTCTGGTATTCCCTGCTTTCAGCCAAGATCCATCTAACATCAGCTACAATATCTCTAGTACCACGACCCCTTCTAAACCCAGCCTGGACTTCTGGTAGTTCTCTGTTGATGTGATGTTTTCTTTTCTAGTTTAAATAATTTTTCCTGCAAATGTGCAAGCATGTGAAGAGTCTGTCAGCACGGTGGGATGTGTGCCTGTGCGCCCTTCACCTGGACCCAGCCGACCTGGTGCACCTAGTCTTCCTCTCCATCTGCATCTCTCAGAGGATGCAGACACCCCACCCCCCACCTTTAACTCCACCAGAGTAAAACTGCAGACAAGTCACATTAGCCCAATAGCTAGTGTCTTCTAAGAATAAGCCCATTCCTGTACAACTATCCCAGGACAATGTCTCAGATCTAACATGGATATAGCATTATTTGCTACATTTCTGTCAGATCTGGTACCTTGTCCTGGAACAATTGTACAGGTCTTCACAATCACTTGCTGTGCACCAGAGAGCTGGACAGTGACTAAGGATGACAGAAGAATAGATGTCTTTGAGTTGTGGTGCTGGAGAAGAGTCTTGACCATACCATGAACTGCCAAGGAAACAAATAGGTGTCTGCCTTAGAGAGGGTGAAACCAAGTTTCTCCTTGGAGGCTAGGATTTTGAAGCTCTGTCACACATACTTTGGAGGCGTGGCCAGGAGAGACCAGTCCTTGGAGAAGGACATCATACTGTGGAGGGACAGAGCAGGAGAGGAAGACCTGGATGAAATGGGTTGATACAGTAACGAGGGCAATGGGGGTAGGTATGTCAGAGTCAATGAGACTGGCTCAGGACAGGGCAGGCTTCAGAGCTGTTGGACATAGAGTCACTATGAGTCACAGGTGACTCAAAAACACATAACAGCAACAAGAGCTTTCTGATGAGTTGGAAGGAAGCCATTGACAAGACCGTGGCTTGGGTCAGGTCTGTCCATTTGCCGGACTGTGGTGGCTTCTGTGAAACTGGAAAGTACACTGCCAGAATGCCAAATACCACCAGGGTCACCCATGGCAGGCAGGTGTCAGCAAAGCTTCCGGACTAAGACAGACTAAGAAGCCAATTAACCATCTACTTCTGAAATAACTGGTCTTTAACAACTCTATATAAATTGTTGAAGGGGAGGGAGAAACAAACAAAAAAAATAAGCTCTATGAACAATGGAAGAACACTGAGCCATTAATAAGTCAGGAAAGAAGCCTCTCAGAGGGATGGAACGGCTGCCAGGATGAGGCCCAGCCTGACAGTTACCGGGAGGGTGGACAGGAGAGAATGGACTGAAGGGTGGACAGAAGCCAGTAGTGTTTGCTCCCATCGTGTAGACACGCCGTGACCTGGAATCGGCTCGCACACCTGACAGCAACATTACAGCGAGCCGTTTCCGGCAGGGCGCACACGCAGACCCCCCCCCCCCATCATCCAGTGGTTGTCTTGCACAACGGTCCCTCTGCCCCGTCAGTAGCCTGGGCCGACAGCAGACGGGCCCTCCGTGACACACCTCTTGCAGACTGTTGACTCTGGACGGATTACTCCGTTGTCCTCCCTTGCCCAGGACACAGACAGGGCGCAGTGTCTCCTCTGACCAGTGGCCCTGGACCCTGTCCCTGTTGATGTTTCCCTCAGGCTCCCGTAGGCCCGGCGATTCCTGCAGGTGATGGAGGTGGGTCCCCACACCTCCTCCCAGCGCACTCACACACCTGCATGTCTAAGGGTAGTGGCAGCCACTGTCCAGTTGATTGCGGCTCCCAGTGACCTCCACCTGGTTTCTGAGCTGTGGGTCTTTGCTGGAGGACACTGTCCATCCTTTTTCCTGCAGAGTGGCTGATGGATTTGAACTGCCCACCTTTTGGTTAGCAGACGAGCATATTAGCAAAGAGCCAGGGATGCTCTAATAGGCTGTGTTCCCATGTCGACAGTCTCTGCGGGCTGCGGAACCTAACATGTGCATGACCCACTCTGCTTTGGAACCCGCTTCATTGCCGGGATCTGGGATAGAACCTGCGGCCTCCAGGTGAAGTCCAAGGTCACCTCTGCCCTGCTTACACTTGTTAGCTGTCCTTGGATCAGTTCTGACCCACGGCTACCTCACCGGGTTTCATGGAACTTTCCAGATCTCCAGGTCTGATTATCTAGGAACTTCTGGGCAGATTCAAACCAATAACCTCTCAGCTTGTGGTTGAACACTTAACCACTTGCGCTATCCGAGGTACAGCCAAGTGGTGGAATCCATCCCTCCCGGCCCAGCCCCTGGGGGCTCGCAGGCCTGGGCCCTGGAGGGATTAGCCTGGCAGGTCCTCACCGGTGTCCCCCCCCCCTGATCTCGCAGGTGTGCCTCGATGTGAGTGAAGGCCCGGGCCCCCACAGCCGCGGCTTCCTGACCATCGAGCAGATGGCCCCGCTGCCCCCGCCAGCGGTCATGGACTACGTGTTCCTGCTGCTGTGCGCCTGTGGCCTGGTGGGCAACGGGCTGGTGCTGTGGTTCTTCGGCTTCTCCATCAAGAGCAGCCCGTTCTCCGTGTACTTCCTGCACCTGGCGGGCGCCGACGGGGCCTACCTCTTCAGCAAGGCCGTGCTGGCGGCGCTGGGCGCGGGGGACCTGCACGGAGCCTTCGCCGACTATGTGCGCGCCGCGGCCCGGCTGCTGGGCCTGTGCGCCTTCCTGGCCGGGGTGGCCCTGCTGCCCGCCGTCAGCACCGCGCGCTGCCTGGCCGTCGTCTGCCCCACCTGGTACTGGCGTCGCAGGCCCCGGCGCCTGTCGGCCGTGGTGGCCGCGGGCCTGTGGCTCCTGTCGCTGCTGGTCACCGGCCTGCACAACTACTTCTGCACCTTCGTGGCGCGCGAGGCCGCGGACGCCGCCTGCCCGCACGCCGACGCAGCCCTGGGCGCACTGGTGTTCCTGGTGGGCTGCCCGCTCATGGTGCTGCCCTGCCTGGCGCTCGTCCTGCACGTCGAATGCCGCGCGCGTCGGCGCCAGCGCTCTGCCAAGCTCAACCACCTCGTGCTGGCCATGGTGGCCGTGTTCCTCGTGTCCTCCATCTACCTGGGCATCGACTGGTTCTTCTTCTGGGTCTTCCGCATCCCCGCGCCCTTCCCCGAGTACGTCACCGACCTCTGCCTCTGCGTCCACTGCAGCGCCAAGCCCCTGCTCTACTTCCTGGCGGGCAGGGACCGCTCACAGCGCCTGTGGGAGCCCCTGCGGGTGGTCTTTCAGCGGGCGCTGCGCGATGGGGCCGAGCTGGCCGAGGGCGCGGGAGGCACGTCCAACACGGTCACCATGGAGATGCAGGCCCCCCCTGGCTACCCCTCCTGAGAGGCAGGTGGGGTCCAGAGGAGCCGGAGACCCCTGCCGCTGGCCGGGAGCGGGGCGCCCACCTGGAGGAGAAGGTTCTGTTTCCGGGTCCCCACACCCCCTCCCCGAGGACTGGAGGCTTCAGGGGGTTTGAGGGACTGAGAGGTCACAGCACACAGGCCCTGTGGCCCAGCCAGGCTCCTCCAGCCCTTCTCCGCATTGACTCGGGAGGACAGCGTGGCACCCGCCGGACAGTAGGAGGAGGCTGGACCATCCACTCAGCCGCCCGCCGCCTTCGGAAAAGGAACCCCGGGGGCCAACCACATCGGCCAGAGCCTGGACCCCCACCTTTGGGGCTCCTTCTCCAGCTCCACCCTCTCAGGCAACATCCACCAGCAAAGTCGTGAAGACGGGGTTCTGGGGTGTTCTCAGAGGCTGCCTCTCACACCAGCTGCCTGAAAGGCCCCCCCCTGCCCCGTGACCCGTTACCTCCAGGGCTGCCAGCCCTTTGGGGAGGTGACTCTCCCTTCTGACTCTGAGCTGAGCTACCCCGGAGGGAAGTGTCCTGGGTCAGCTGAGTCCCAGCTGCTGTCCACCTCGGACCAGGCAGGCAGCCCCTCAGCTGAGCCACTGGGCTCCGGGGACCCCAGAAGTGGGCACAGACTACCCCAACCACCCAGGATGGGCAACTGTGCAGCCCCTCCAATCACAGCAGCCAAGTGCAGCCAAAGGAAGTTTTCTAAAAGACAAGCAAATGTGCATTAATAAACCTTTTCTATCTCTTGCCAGGCAGGGCTGTGGTCTCCATGTCCCACTGGTGGGAGGCCCTGGGCCCCTCAGGGCCCCTCAGAGCCCCAGGTGGCCAGCCTGTGCGTTCAGCCCACCCCCACCCCGCACGATGGGCTATCCCCCAGAGCTGACACGTCCCTCCTCGTGGGGTCCACTCCTCTGATAATCGATCACCCCATGGGTCCTCAGCCAGTCACCTAATCCCAAAGGAGACAGGAGAGAGACAGTGGACCCCCTGAGGGGACAAGATGGGGTGGGAGCCCCCCTGCAGCCATGGTGAGTGACACACCCCTCGGGCAGCCCTGTGGTCTCTGCACTCAGGCCTTGGCCCTAGGAGCGGGTGTGAGCTGTGAGCCACCCTCTCTCTCCATGTCCTTCATACTGAACAGCAGCCAGGGGACGTGGCTCTGTTGTCCTGGGACATGGCTCCCTGCAGGGTCTCCTGGCTTCCAGGCAGGGGACAGCTCCTGAGAACATGAGATCCCAGAAGGGAGAGTCTCTGGGCCCCACTGAGTGACCTCTGGCCACTCTCCAACCAGAAGGTCCTCTGTCACGTGGGGCCTAAAGTCTCCCAACCTCTGAGCCCTGCTTCCGCTCCCTGATTCCGGAAGTGTGCATTACCACCCAAAAGAGCCCTGGTGGAACGTGCTGGCTGCTAGTGGAAAGGCTGGCTGTTCTAATCCACCAGCCTCTCCGCAGGAGAAAGATGGGCGGTCTCCAGATGGACCACTTTGGAAACCTGCTGGAGGGTCTGTGAACTGGACCAACTTCTCCGCACTGAGTTCAGGGGCGGGGATGTCCCATGTGGGCATCCACTCCTCCTTGGCCCCAACCAGGCCTGCTTCTCACCAGCACACCCACCCACCCAGAAGGATCCTCTGTCCACACTTGCTACCACACCCTGAATAAACCCACACCAGCTGTCATCAAGCGATCCTGACTCAGAACAGCCCCAAGGGGGTCAGAGCATAGCCCTGCACCAGGCTCTTCAGCTACTGTTTTTTCCGAGGAGACTGCCAGGCCTTTCCTCCAAGGCACCTCCTGGTGGGCCCAACCCCCCAACCTTCCAGTTAGCAGCTGAACACACTCGTGGTTTGCACCCTCAAGGCCCCCACGCTGCAGGCTGCCCACTCCCTGTGCTAACGGGAGGGAAGGGGCCCCTTGGCCGTCTGATCGGCAGCTACAGCCTGGCCACTCTCTGTATCTCCCCCATGTCTGGTCCTTAATTATCAAAGTCCCATTGAAGCGGCTGCTGTGGGGGCCCCAGGTCTCCAGGCTGCCCTGCACAGCAGCAACATTTATACATAAATATATATATTAATATATCTATATTATTAGTTTCAATGAAAATTTACAGACTTTGGATTTCCATGGATTCATTGTTGCACATTTCTCCCCTCCCAGCGTCCCCCCCCCCCCCCCCGCCCACCAGTGAACTACCCTCTTGGAAAAGTAAAATTCTTTCATTGTTTTACAATCCCACCCCCCAGGTCCACTCCACTATGCAGCCTTCGCTCTGGACTCCCATCATGACAAAAATATCTTATCACATATCCTTTTTAAATAGTTCTTTCCATCATCTGTTTCAATGCATTATACATTATTGAACCCATCTTCCTCAGTGTCCCCCCAACCCCATTATCAGTCTTATTTTATAACAGTGGCACCATGCAGTATTTGTCCTTTTGTGACTGAGATACTTCACTCAGCATAATGTCCTCCAGGGTCACCCATTTTGAATAATATTGCATGAGTTCCTTGTTTTTCAATGCAGTGTAGTATTCCATTGTGTAAATATACCACAGCTTCTCTATCCATTCGTTTGTTGATGGGCACTTAGGTTGTTTCCAACTCTTTGCTACTGTGGACAAAGCCACGATAAACATGGGTGTGCATGACAACAGCAATTTTTAAAGTCTCCACTCCTGGAGCTCTGATGACCTAGTGGCAAGAAGCTACACTGCAATCCCAGAGGAGCACGGTTTGAATCCACCAGATGCTCTGCTGGAGAAGGAGGGGCAATCTCCTGTACCAGTCAGATCCAATTTGACAGTACACACACACAAAAATAATAAAAGCTTTAAGAAAAAGAAGAAGAAGCTCCCTTCCCTAGGTGGGGGGGAGGGGTAAACAGAAGGCCCTTCAAAAGTTTCCATTTAGACACTGCCTGCAGCAAGGGGTCTGCTGTTTCTCCAGAGAGCAGATTTGGAGGGTTAGACCCTGGGTGTGGGCATCATTATTTCTGTCAAGGCCTCCTCTGAGGAGCTGGGCAAAGACTGAAGATGTCACCCCCACTGCCTTGTTTATCAGTAAGCTGGCTTTCGTGATGTGCAGGGTGGGGGAGAGGGTGGGAGGCAGGGGTGGGGCCACGGCAGGGTGAGGCTCAAGCTTTCTCACACGTCCTGCCCTTCACGGTCATCACAAAAATATGCACATGGCCCTAAGGGCCTCAGACAGCCCTCCAACTGGAGCTGGACCCCTTCCCAGACTACCTTGCAGTCAAGCAAGAAAGGTCGAGAGAGTGGGCCATGAACATCCCTGAGAATGTGCCCTGGAGGTTGTGACCACCGACGACCGCAAGAGCAGTGTGTGCCCCAAAACAGAGCTCAGAAAAGGAGGAGCGGGCCCGGGGCGCCCAGGAGGGAAGTGGGAGAGTGCGGTGCCTTGAGTGAACGTGGAGCGTAGTGCTGAGGTTCGTACCTCAGAGTTAGCGATCACAGACAGACGAAAAACTGACCGGGGGACAGACCAAAGCAGACTGAGGGTCACTGACACAGGAATGCCGCTGAGCAGGGGAGCAGCACTGCACGGATCCTGAGGGGGGCTGGCCTGACCCGGAGATGGTCCTCCAAGGATGTGAGGAAGGACGTCATTGTTTCCACCCTCACACAAACACCCCAACTGCACTGTCACGTTAGGGGATGTGTGTTGTTAGGTGCCCTGGAGTCGAGCACAGCTCACAGCAACCTTGTGAACATGGACCTGAACCTGGTCCTGTCCCGCACTGTCTCGGGCACACCTGAGCACTTTGTCACAGTCTCTGTGTCCATTCACCTCCTCAGAGGTCTTCCCTTTCTTTCCTGGCCCTCCACCTTCCCAACATCCCTGCTCATTCTTCTGGTGGTCTGCAGGGTATTCAGTGCTCTCCTCCGGCACCACAGCTCAAAGGCATCAATTCTTCCGTCCTCCTCATTCATTGTCCAGCTCTTAGATGCACAGCAGGCGATTGAAAAGGCCATGGTTTGAATCAGGTGCATCTTGGTCTTTGGGACTTTGGAGAGGCCACTCAGAGCAGACTTTCCCAGTGCACGACTTCTCCTGACTGCTGGTACCAAGGGGGGTGGTTGTGGATCCAAGTAAGACTAAATCGTTGACAACTCCAGTCTTTTCTCCATCTATCACGATGTTGTGTGTCAGCCCAGAGGTGAGGACGTTTGTCTTCTTGCTGTAGTCCTTCATCTTCTGCAGCGAGCGTCTTGGGGCCTCCTTACTTTCTGCAAGCAAGGTTGTGTCACTTGCATAATGCAAGTTTTTGATAAGTCTTTTTCCAATCTTGTTGCCACAAGCCTCTTCAAACAACAGCTTTATTCTAGGTATAGCTTTTGCATGAGCATAATTAAGTGTTCTGAGACTCCCATTCTTCTCAAAGTTAGCCACAGCTTGTTGCGATCCACACTGTCAAATGCCTTTGCATAGTCAATACAGCACAAATAGACATTCTTCCGGTATTCTCGGCTTTCACCCAGGATCCATCTGACAACAGAAATTATGTACTTGGTTCTGTGGCCTCTTCTAAACCCAGCTTGAACATCTGGTAGTTACGTGTCACTATCCTGTCTTCTTCACTGTTGTACCCTTGGTGCCAGCAGTCAGGAAATTAGGAGACGCTTTGCACCGGGAAAACCTGCAGTTAGGGACCTCTCCATATTACTGAGGAGTAGTGATGTCAGTTTGAGGACTAAGGTGCACCTGTTTCAAAGCCATGGTCTTTCCGATTATTAGCTATGCATCTGAGAAGTGGACAGTGAATAAGCATGACAGGAAAAGAATTGATGCCTTCAAGCTGTGGTGTTGGAGAAGAGCACGGAACATCCCATGGACGGCCAAGAGAACAGATAGGTCTTGGAGAGGGTGCAGCCAGAGTGCTCTTTGGAGGCAAGAATGATGGGGCTTCACCTCACATGCTTTGGGCACGTTGCTAGAAGGTTCTATTCCTTGGTGAAGGACACAGT